GTTTTTGCGTCTTATAAAAATTCTCAGAAGCAGGAGTGGGGTGGGGGTGTTCATCATCAGCTATTTGACAGGTGCTTGTGATCAAAAGCACCCTCATACTTTGTCACCTTGGACAATATTGAGGATAAGACAACATTTTACATAGTTTTCAACTTTTCGTCATAATAACTGTGGCGGTAAGCCAGGCTCAATCGCCAGTGGCTAGATAGCTCAGTTGGTAGAGCACCTGACCGGAGTTTCAGGGGGCCCGGGTTCGAATCCCAGTCTGGTCCGCTGCATTTTCTTCTCTCCCCTTACATTTGGTGCCGTGCCATGCCCTGAAAATGACAGGTGAGAGGCCTGCCATGGATGAGCCTGGGTTTGGGTTTTTGGAGGGCCAATTAAAGACCTTTAAGGAGGGTCAGGAATGTGGCAGTCAGCCGGGTTCGATCACCAGTGGCCAGATAGCTCAGTTGGTAGAGCACCTGACCGGAGTTTCAGGGGGCCCGGGTTTTCAATCCCGGTCTGGTCTGCTATACATTTTATCCTCTCCCATTACATAACCAATAATTTGGAATAATAACATCTTGAGACAAAATAAACTGTATAATAGTACACAGACTTGATTAAAGTTAATGAACAATTGGTAAATTTATATATTCTAGTGTTCAATGATGGCAGATCTGAGTAAATTATTAATCTTTTACCAGCAACCAGGAGGAGTATCTCCATGTCTTCTGGACAATGCCCACTCTATATAAAACATTAAAAAAATGTCATTATCAAAGTTGAGATTGATTGTTTCAAAAATTCATTGTTCATTATTCAACAGATCTGTATATATATGTGTTCTCGATTTAATTAACCTCGTGATAGAATTTACATCATGTAAAAAAATAAAATCAGATACTGCACAACTTTCTATTTATGTCTCTGGTAAAATGAAATACATGATTTTAGCAATTTGTAATATCATCAACTGATTTTGAAAACTTTACCTCTGTTCGGCGTAAACTGCACACGATGATGTCCTGTGTATTGATCAGGTAAGAAAACCGGTTTTTCAAGTTTAAAAATAGCTCCGTTGTTATTATTTTCATTCATCCCGCCTACACCGATAAATGCAATGATTTCAAATAAAGAAATTTTATTTTATCAAAACGAAATAGATTGCTCTTTTTAACAATAATAAGTCAGAACAAAATTTATTGCACTATAAAATATTTTTAGCTCATATTGATGATATTTATTTAGATAATTGATTATTGTTTATTCCAATGTCATTTAATAAGGTGCTTGTTTTCACATTTTTCGTTTTGGTAAAGAAAAGTCCTATAAACGATTCCCAGGTAAGAGGGCAAATGTCATGTTTATTCATTAAGTTACAGGTAGATACGCCTTTGTAAACCAGTCTTGTGGATAAAAATAGAAACCCTAAAGCATGTCTACAGGGCGGTGAGCATAACTATATTGGGTAAGTACAGCACGTATTTGTAAACTTCTCATGAATTTTATTTAATTCAGAAGCAGGCTTCTATAACTGTTTTGTTTTTAATAGTCCATTTCCCAGAGAATTTATTTGTTGCTGATACATCTTGGATCCTATTGAACTCTATTCTATTTATGCACTATTATATTTAGTTTAAATGAAGTTTTCTATTGAGGAATATCAGTTAAAATGAAGACTTGTACAGTGTATACTGGCCGGTATATTAATTAGGAAATAATCAAACTACAGATTTTCTTTTCTTTTTGGCCACATTGATTTTTTATGACAATATTCTCTAAGGAAATTATATACATGTGTAAATGTAACTGTTATGGGAGAGGAGAAAATGCAGCTGACCAGACCGGGATTTGAACCTGGGCCCCAATAAATCTCCAGTAAGGTGCTCGATCTACCATTGAGCTATCTGGCACAGTCCACCAGCGATCGAACCCAGATGACCGCCAAAGTTCTCCATCCTTAAAGGTCTTTTGCCCTCCAAAGACCCCAACCCAGGCTCATTCCTGGCGGGTCTCTCTCCTGTCAGTTCCCGGGCATCTAATGTATCGGGAGAGGATAAAAATTTAGCGGATTAGACTGGGATTCGAACCCGTGCCCCCTGAAATCTCCAGTCAGGTGCTCTACCAACTAATTAAGCTTTCTTGCCAATGGTGATAAAACCCGGCTGACTGCCACATAACTATAACATAGGAATATTTATACAATATATAGGGCCAGAATTAAAAATATCTTTGTTTCCCCTAACCCGACCCTAAATTCCCAAGTTGGGTCGGTAGGTAGGTAAACAATTTTATTTTCTGACAGCAGCTTTGAAAATACATTCTAAAATTTAATGGAAAATTACCTTTATAAATAAGAAAAGTACAAACATGACAAAAGAAAGCGATTTGTGAACAAAATGCTAAGTATCGTACATACACCGTTTAAAAGCAAAATTCATGATTACTTAATTCACAACTGTTATTTAGTTGAACTTGTGAAATATCTCACGCCATTACATTTATATAAATTGAATAAAATAGACAAGATTCTCAAATACGCAAAGACCAGACATACGAGTATATTTTTTCAAACCTTTCATCAGCCTTCAGAGCTTATAGATGATCAATGTACTTTTTTGAGGGCCATGAGATTTGCAGTGGTTCTGGAGCATTTTTCTTTGGAGTTAAGAAGTAAGTGACTAATTTTAAATCGCAGGTTCAAATCTCAAATCCCATTGAGCAACGTTGAAAACGGTCCTTCAAAGGGGACCATAAAAACCTATGTCCAGTGTCACAGAAGATGCTGGCTCAAAAAGCATCCCATCCCCCACTGCTAATTGGCAAAAAAGTGCTGAGTATGTCTAAATTTGGAGCAATGGGGAAATGTTTAAATGTCATCCTAACAAATCTTGAAGGGATTAAAAGCAAAGAAACATGCAGCCAATCTTCAAGGGCCTATTAAATTAAAGAAAAATACACTGGACGTATCAGGAAGCTGAATCATGATTTCAAAACAATTTGGAAAGAGTATATTAATATTTAATTGAACCAAACCGAATCTACAAATGATAAAAATGCTATATACAATGTCATAGTCACGAAGTTTAACCACTAAATAAAGGATGGAGAAAGGATATCTGAATTATATTTATCAGGATGAATATGCAGAAATATTTACAACTCCTATGGTTCCATAATGGCATATAGTAAACATAAGAACATAGATGAACTGGTTATCAGTTAACTCAAATTAAATAAAATGCAGTGAAATTGAATGATGTGTTCACTAGGTGGGCCCCTCATCTACTCATGAGGCGGGCCTTACCATGTATTACATACCTTAAATTCAAAGACAGGTTTGTTTGTTTGTTTGTTGTTTAACGTCCCTTTCGAAAATTTCTTCACTCACATGGAGACGCCAAGACACCTCCGAAACACTCTTAATTAGTCATGGTAAGTTTTATTATCTAATTGTTTCATGAGTGAAGAATTCCAATTAGCTAAAAGCATAAGATTGAGACGTCGCCATTGTTTTATGAAGAGCTAATGTCCTGTAATCACATCTGGACATCATTTTGTTTCCAACAAATGCTTGAAAATCACAGTAGAACAATGTCGGCCATTCTGATAAAAACTGATTTTGATGAAATAGTATTTTATAATACTTGGTAAGCAATAAAAAAAATATTTGAATCATCTTTTTTGAAAAATCTTTTCAGTCGGCGGGATTTAATTGGGTTGGTCGCGTTAGGGGAAACAAAGGTATTTTTAGCTCACCTCAACGAAGTTGGGGGAGCTTATGTAATACCCTCGGCGTCGGTGTCGGTGTCGGCGTCCCAGGTTAAGTTTTTTGGAGCAGTTTTCTTTTTAAGTACTTCTATGTCCTATATTGATTAGACATGCATGGAAGATGCATCTAGTGTGTTTCATTGTACAAGTCAAGTTTCAGATGCTGCAATTTCAGCAAAGGAATGACCAGGTTAATGTTTTTGGAGCAGGTTAACATTTTGGGTGCAGTTTTTGGTGTAGGTCTCATTTCCAAGGAAATATAAGACCTATGTTGACCAAACTTGCATGGATGGTACATCTAAGGATGTACACTACCAGACTTGCTTCGGATGCTGAATCTGACCTACATTTTCCGGTTGAGTGAACAGGTTAATGTTTTTGGTGCAGGTCTCATTTCCGAGTAACTAGAAGTCCTATGTTGATCAAACTTGCATTGATGATACATCTAAGGATGTACACTACCAGACTAGCTTCGGATGCTGAATATGACCTACATTTTCCGGTTGGGTGAACAGGGTAATGTTTTTGGTGCAGGTCTCATTTCCGAGTAACTAGAAGTCCTATGTTGACCAAACTTGCATTGATGATACATCTAAGGATGTACACTACCAGACTTGCTTCGGATGCTGAATCTGACCTACATTTTCTGGATGAGTGAACAGGTTAATGCTTTTGATGCAGGATTCATTTCCAAGTAACTATGAGCTCTTTAATGACCAAACTTGCATGGATGATACATCTAAGGTTACATTCTACCAGGCTGGCTTCAGATGCTGAATCTGACCTACATTTTTTTCTGGATGAGTGAAGAGGTTAAATTTTTATGCAGGTTTCATTTCTAAGTAACTATTAGCCCTATGTTGTGCAAACTCACATGGATGATACATCTTTGGATGCATACTAATGGACTTGCTTCGGATGCTGAATTCGACATACATTTTCCAGATAATGGACCAGGTAAAAGTTATGGGTGCAGGTCTATCACCAAGAAACTATAAGGCTTAAATAAACCAAACTTGCCCAAATGATGCATCAAGGGATGAAAACTCTTAAACTTGCTTCAGATGCTGGATTTTGATCACATTTTTGTGATGAAGAACTAGTTTGAAGTTTTTATATAAGTCTATTCCAAAGTATCAGATCAAAATTGCATAAATTTTGCATTTTTGGATGTACACTTTTTGTTGGGTAATTGTGTGACTTTGCCTTACTTAAAGACAACATTTGTTGAGGTGAGCTCTGTAATCTCTGATTACCTATGTTTAATTTTGGCCTAGTCCAGATTATTATTTTTTTTACTTTCTAAGAAAATTTTATTGCAAATAATCTTTAATCTTAAATTAATATACAGAACCAGAGAATTAAGGTTTCCAAAGATGCTTAAAAGTTTAATCAAGGTTATAATTACATGTATATTGTTACAAGTTAATTTTGATATCTGGATAAGAGTTGGTGTGCTGGGTTTGAGTCAACTTACAATATGGTAAGGAGTTGGTCAGGTTACAGATTGACTTAACACCACCAACAGACATGTATCGCTTTGACAAAGTTTAGTTGGGTAATAAATTGCTTACAGACTGCTGATTGGTTGATTATAACAAGTTGTGTTAATTGGGCTCAAACAGGGTCCAGGTTAAAATGAGTTTAATTATTCCTGGGTTTTCGTCGGAGAAGTCTTTTTGTAACCATTATCATAGTTGAGGCTGACATTGTAAGATTTTCATAAAAATAAATTTTGGAAATACATGTATGTATTAGAGTACATTTTTAATGTGAGTTAATTAGTAAATATGTAATATTGTGACATATAAAACATTACATATATATATACTACTTACAATTTTCTCAGACACATGAAACAATAAAAATATTTAACTTCCCCTACCCCAACCCCAATGAATATATACTGTAAAAGCACAAATATTCGTGGGAGGTTAAATTTCGTTTATTTCGTTGTTTACAATTATCAACGAAATTAAATACCACACGAAATTTTATATGACTATAAATTGAATAGGATTACTTTTAAAACAACGAAATTAAATGCCAACAAAACTATTTTTTATTATGAATCAACTAAATTTTATCCCCACAATAATATGCTTCTACAGTAATTAAACTTTTTTCACAAGGTTCTCTGTCATAAATGTCAAATTGTTTCTATATGTCTTTTCTATACACAAATGAATAAATAATTTTGAATGTTGATCAGTCTGCATTTTGTATTATTGAAATATTCTTATGAATTGTCATTGTTTCAATAAAAGAGTCGAACTCATAACCAGTCAGTAGTTTTAAAAAGCAAATAGAAAGTACATCAAATATTAGTGCTAAAATAGTTGGTGAGAATCTCACAGCATGCAATATATGCTTTTGTCACTTACCGGTAATTTATTTTTTCAGGGCGTACAACTGAGTAAAAAAGGATGTGGCTATCATTGGTGTTTGGTCTCTTTGCCGTTAATGTCCTTACTACATTGGGTACATGATATTCTATGAATGATATTGAATATGACAAGATTAAAAAAATCAATTATGTTTAAATTCAAGCTGCATACTTTTGTACTGTCCTGTGAAGGAACTCATTATTATAGTATATATAATCTAACAGATGAGTGTCAAGCACTAGATGCATTTTGTTATGTTATTGCAGTAAATGGACAGGATCCTCCCACATGGATCAATGACATGAACGCATTAAGAATCGAAGAAGACACAGCAGTGGGTAAGTAATGGTACAAGTCATGCAGGGTGTACCATCAACATTGTAATAGTACAGTGAGTCATGCAGGGTGTACTATCAATTGTAATTGTACAAATCATGCAGGGTGTACTATCGTAATGGTACAAGTCATGCAGGGTGTATTATCAATTGTAATGGTGCAAACTATGCAGGGTCAATTGTTTCAAAGCAATGTTCACTTAAAATAATTTATAGTTTCTTTTCCAACAATTACATTTTAAAGAATATTTTTGTTTGTTGAAAGTGGATGAAAAATTTGTACATGTACTGATAATGTGTGGGGGAAAATGTTTCAAACAATATATAGTTTAAACATGTTGATTTTCCTTTGCATGGAATTGAAGATGAATGATAATTTTGTGAATTGAAGTTGTATATTATTTATTTTGTTCAAAGTGTTTGCTTTTATGATAATTTCGTGAATTGAAATCGAGCATTATTTATTCTGTATATATGTTGCTAGGTACTGTTGTCTATACACTGTTGGCTCAGGGAGGGGGGCCAGATGGCATCACTTATGATATGTTGGAAACAGATAAGTTTATTGTCAACAGAGCAACAGGTGAAGTAAAATTGAGGAGGCTGCTGGACTATGAGGTAAACTTAACACATCTTATCTCATTATATTTATAGTTTCCAGATGCTCAAGTTCTCTCAGACATTTTACAATAAAACTTAAAGGTAGTGACTCTATTTAGGTTAAAAAAAATACTTTCTGTATGGGACATACTGTACGTGTACATAAATTGGCGTATTTAAAATTTAGTGCAATCAAGGGTTATGGAGTTGTTGGCATAATCATTAATTAGTGCTACAAGTATCTTTGCCATGTATTGTATAAATAAATGATTTCTCAGCTAAGTATTCATAGCCGCTAAAATATGAAACCCGCTTTTTTAAGTACATATACAGTAAATTTCTTGCATTAGGTTTTATGATATATGTACAGTCAATTCAAAATGAAGATTCATTCTTTTCCGACAATAGATTGAATTTACGATATACATGTATTAATGTATTGAATTCAAACTCCTTTTATTTAGTTTTGGAATAGATTACATATATATATATATATATGTATATAATATATTTATTTATTGTAGACAAACCCAACTTTACTAGTAACAGTGTTAGCCACTGGCAGCAATGGATTAACGGTAATTAATAAATCATTTAAAATTGGGATAATTGTAACCGTGAATTGCTAGATAACTGTTCTCTTGTGCTAACAAATACTGTACTCAAGGTAAATAAGGAATGAATAAAATAGCAACACAAATTATACTGTATAACCTGGGTTGGGGCATTTTACGCTTTATAAACCGAGAAGAGGTTGGTAAAGAAAAGTGTAAACTGCTCCCACCCAGGTTATACAGTATAACGT